GTTCTAAGAAAGCAAAAATAGATAATGTTCGGATGATCATTATTCTTTTGTTCCTCAGATGCTTATTAGATTTGAGATTTAGATAGCATTTTGTAAGTGGAACTTTATAATATATAGTTGAGATGAAGAAATGTATCCATGTTTCTATGCATGGTCTGGGACTAACAGTCCAAACAATGAAGTTCTAAGGAAGAAAGAATCAACTGGCTGGCTTTATTAACACTTTAATACAATGTTTACTAGAAAAATTTAATCCACTTGAAAATTCCTCCCTTTTTTTTCCTTTTTTCCTTCTAGAGGATGGTTGGTTCACTTGGATGGAGATTCTTAGCTTCTGTTTTACATAAAATTCTAATGCTTAAGGGTGTGTTTGGTTTGCGAAAAACGACTCATTTTGGAAAATATTTTCCTCCAAAAGGATTATTTTTGGTTGTTTGGAAATTGCAACACTTTGGAAAATATTTTCTGTTTTTTGGTAAGCAAGGAAAAATCTTCATAGTTTCATAAGATCCACCAAGCGAGGAAATACATACTCAATGTTTCACTGACTGTTAATGTGCTGTCTGAGTGGTGAACGTTTCAGGATAGTTGAACTGAAATTAGGAAATGACTCTGTGCTAGCCTTTTGAGAAATAAAAATAAATAACTCATGCATACACATATTAATACGTGTATATATATATAGCACCAAATCTAAAAAGTACGTGACATCTATCATGTGTTTAGGACTTGGTTTAGCCTAGGCAAGTTTTTGACTGTGTTTTGGCCAAAAAAAAACAAAAACAAAAACCTTGGCAAGTTATTATAAGTCAAAATGAATTTAAAACAGAAATAGAAATGGTCCAATAATAATTTAGCCTGTCAATTATATCATAACCATGTTGTGCAGAACATTTATTTGAACTTTGAACTGCAAAGTGACAAAAATAAAAATTGAATGAACTAAAAATTTTCAAACACAAACAAAGAAAGCGTATTATGTCCCCAAACATGGAATAAATGCATTCTAGGATAGATCAGTTAAAGCCCCATGATTCACTGGAAATTAATGGCTCCATGTCTAAAGACAAAGCTGCTTCAGAGTTTAAACCTGAACCTGTTGAATTTGAGGCATCATCCCAGAGATTGGTTACTTCAGTTTTGACATACCTAGCCTCTTCTTTGTTGACCATTTGAAATGTTTTGCGAAAGATGAATCCGCTCTATCTCTGCAGCAACTTCTATCATCTTTGGCCACTTTTTACCACTCAAGCTCAAGCATCGATATGCAAGTTTAGCAACCTTTGTTATCTCTTCATGTGCAGAACTCTCCCTTACTTAAGCATCAAGAGGAACTCTCCCTTACTTGAGCATCAAGAATATTAAAGAGTCTATTCTCTTCCATGGAAAAAATGAAATGTGAGGACAAACTTCTTGCATCCACTTCCTCCGTCCCTACTAAGAAATTGGTTTTTCTCCAGTTAAGAGCTCAACAAGGACAACTCCAAAGCTGTAAACATTACTCTTGTTTGTAAATTGACTTGATCGGAAATATTCAGGGTCCAAGTACCCAAATATGCCCTTCACATTTGTGATCAAATGAGTTTGATCAATGGCAATTAATCTTGATGTCCCCAAAGCCTTAAACTATTGCCCTGTGCTTTTCATCTTGTACAATATTTGAGTACTTGACATCTCTATGATAAATGGGAATGGAGGCTGCTGAGTGCAAGTACGAAAGTGCACCTACAACTTCCGCTACAGTTGTTACCCTTCTTTCCCAGGTTAATGGGAAGTCCTAATGTTGATCATGTCTGTACTGGAAAAGTGTCCTGTTGGAGATGAATTCATAAACAAGCAGAGGAACCTCAGTCTCCAAATAGTAGCCTAATAACTTAACAATATTTCTATGGTGAATTTGGGTAAGAATGACCACCTCATTAATGAACTCTTTAACTTTCTCTTTATGCAGTCCTTTGGACATCTTAACTGCAACAATTCTTCCATCAACCAACATTCCTTTATAAACTATGCCATAGCCTCCTTGACCAAGTATTCTATTCCTATTGAAATTGTCAGTTGCTTTCTCTAACTCTTTGGTACTAATTATTTTGGTCTTTTCAATATTACCCTGAGTTGAAGGTAGTTGTTGCTGCAATAATAATGAACCTCCATTTTGTTTGAAGAACTGCTTTTGAAGCCTCTTTTTCCTTCTCTTCTTTAAGATTTTGTCCAACCATCATGTACCAATGGTAAACACACTACTCCTGACCCTAGGCTAATACCTGCAGATATCAAGAAAGAAGAAACAGATGACATTAGCAAGAGATATGCATGTATATCAACACTTGATATATATAAAAGTCCAGTTTCACGGTTAGACTATTCAAATTTCAAAATGAAATGGAATGAAATTAATAAAAGTCCACAGGATTGCGCATGGTCTTGAAGAAAGATCGTTAGGTGAAAAAGATGATGAGAGCTCGTGTTAGTATTGAAGCTGGGGATAGACAAGCAAACCTCCCTTTGTTATGACTGTTGGCTACAAGAAGACAGAATTTGTGAAAGGCTAGAAAAAATAGCTGAGTTCACTGTGGGCACCATGAAACAAAAGTTCTCAGTGGAGACAATCTGGATGGCAGATACCAACTAGATATTCTGGTATGGTGGCTGAGATGAAAGGCTTGATTTTGTCTAAGGGAGCAGATAATGTTTTCTTGCACTCAAGAGGCTTATCAATCAATTAAAGTTGTCAATTGTCAATTGATGAGATTCCAGGTTTATAGAGTTCCTTGGTTTAGATAGGTGTGGCAGTGTGGCCTTCTAGTGGGTTTCCTAGACAACTGTTTATCCTATAGATGCTAGTGACAAGCTTTGTTGAAGACATAGGTATTGAACTGCAGCAGTATGCGTTTGAGTTGAAATTGATTTTGAGTTTAAAATTGATTTATATTCAAAAAATGATAAATAAAAGTCCGAAAATATGGATCTTACCCAAAATTATAGGCCAGGCTATTTTGCCTTTGGGTTTGCAAGCGTAGTCCCCTACCTTATTTGCATATATTGAGTCCCAACCACAGTATAAAATGTGCCTGGGTTCATTGCATTTGTCAATATCTAAGACAAAAAAAAAGAAAAAAAATCAGCAAGACGATACTAACAAAAATAAAAAATATCATGGCATAATAAAAAAATTCCAATTTGTACACCTGCCACACTTGGTTTACCTTGACATCCACAAGGTAGGTAAGGGTTGCCTTGAAATCCCTGTTCACAAAAACATCATCGACTTCTGTTTAGGGGCATTGGAGGGAGGGAAGAAGTATTATAAAAGAAGGAAGAATTAGCAATAGTACCATTAAACTGGGAACAATTAAATGCATGATCATATCTATATGGTAATTGTGATGCATCCTCATCAGTAATCACCCAGTCTAACACAGCTGGAACATATCCCTCAGGAGGCAACGACATTCTCTTTTTGTAGGACATGAAAGGATTTCCCGAGAAATCCAAAAATTTCAAACTTACAGAACACTGCTGGGATATGACTGGCATTTGGACATTAACTATGATGTGATCAAGAGAGAAATACAGCCCCTGAGTCTCTATGCTGGTTAGTAAAGTTGTAGGTGGGTTGGAAGTTTTGTTGCAGGAGACCTCAAACCCTTTGTGCATGTAGCAATCTGCTCTGATTCCAAAGGAATATGGAATGCTGACATTCCCACAACGCTCTTTATAACCAAGCTTCACCAGAGCTTGGCCTACTGCCGATTCAATCATTAGCAATTGTAGGAAAGCAAAGATAGATGTTCTCGTGATGATCATCATTCTTTTGTTCCTCAGATGCTTATTAGATTTGAGATTTAGGAAACATTTTGTAAATGAAACTTTATATATCGTAAAGATGAAGAAATGTATGTAGGATGCATGTTTTGGGACTAACTGCCCAAACATTGAAGTCCAAACTCCAAAGGAAGAAAGACTCAACTGGCCGGCTTCACTAAATATAATCTGATGCATTACTAGAAAATTTTAATCTACTTGAAAATTCACTTTCCTTTTAGAGGATGGTTGGTCGCCACTTGGAAATATCCTAAGCTTCTAGTTTCATGTAAAATTCTAATGCTTAGATATCATTAACACATTCACCTGTTGACCAATTGATGAATACTCCTTTTAGTCTGATTTAGTTGTCTCACTTACTAAATAGACCTGGTCTAATTAGTTGTCTCACTTGTTAAATAAAGGCTGTCAAATTTAGTTATCTCACTTTCTATTTTAAAAAGACTTTTTTTTTTAATGAAATTTTAAAAAGATTTTAAATACTAGTATTTCAATTTTCATTATCTGAGATGAAATAAAAATGCATTTGAGTTTTTTGGTTTAATTGTAAGGATGAAAATGAAAAGATGTAGACTGAATTACATCATCTTGATTCTCCATATTATGCACGGTGGAAATTAGGCCTCTTCTTGTCTTATGATACTTGTTTTGACTTTCGAGTTTGCAGATGGAAGAAAACTACTTGGAAGGCTATTTTAAGGGAATAACTGTCTACTTTGACGCTTCTGCACACAGGTAAGTCTTATAACCTGGTTTTTCATTGCTATAATTACCATGTTATCTTAGAATATGTTATTTTAGCTATACAGCAATTAAGGGCATTTCATGCTAGTCTGATGATTGTTTTGTTAATGCTGAAGGTGTGAATAAGTATGTTTTCCTTTCAAATTTCTCCTCATACTTTCATAAGATAAACCAAGCAAGGAAAATATACTCAATGCTTTTTTTCTTAACAGCAAAATATACTCAATGCTTTACTGTGAATACTGCCGCTAAGATAAATTTGTCTGAGTGGTGAAAGTTTCAGGATAGTTGAGCTGGAATTAGGAAATGACTTTGTGCTAGCATTTTGAGGAATACAATTAAATAACTCATGCATACACATATTAATATGCACATAGCACCAAATCTAAAAGTTGACTTAATTTAATCTTGGCAAGTTTTTGTGAGACAAAGAATTTAAAACTGGAAAGCAAATGGTCTTAGCTGTCATCATGATATCAAATTATTGTAACCGAGCAGTGCATAAACTTTATTTGAACTTTAAACTACAAAGCAACAAA